CTCGTCAGGTTCGCACGGGCTCTTGGGGTAAACGGTACCCAGTGAGGAATTTTAATTTTAGAACATTCTGTTTGAGTTACACGGGGAAAGAGAAGCGTTCGCTTTCAGAAGACACGTCTGCTGTTCGAGGCACGGTTAACAATAAGTATTTCTTGGCGCAGGCGTTAGATCCCTGCCAGGAGCTGGGAGAGGTATCGGGCGCTAGAAGAGAATCTGTTAAGGAAATCATCAGATGTTTTCCTCTCTCTAAGTCAATACTAAACTGAAACAAGACTGAACAAGAGCACACAGCTGGACTTCAGGAACTAGTTCTTGGGCCTTTTTCTAGGGTCTGTTCTCATCTCCTATTTCCCCCATCTTTCACACACATATTTTTAAGTTTCAGTCCTAGCTGTGTATCTCCACATAAATAATGACAGCTTCTTGTGCCTGCCTTGCTGGTGCAGTGTAACTTTCATTAACCTGCAGACGGCAGTGAGTTCTTCTTGGTGCAGTTTCCCCCCAGTCCAATACCCTCACCAGACTTGCAGGCGTTTCCTGGGAGCCCTCTCCCTGTCTCTCTGTATTTCCATTTGGTTGTTTTTCCCCATGACAAGGACATAGAGGACCCACTTCAAGCAAGCCCTTTAAGTCACCCACTCCATTCTCTTGCCAGATCATACAAGCATCAGGTACAGACAGAAATTTGGGTAGTCAGGGTGAATAGGTGCATGTAAAGTTTATATTTCCAAAGATAACATCTTCCTTTTGTTTTAGGCTTGGACTCGAGAGAGCGGACACGGCTGAAAAGGCTCTTACTGTCATAGTTGATTTGCTAGAAAAATATGGACAGGGAGGAAACTGTATGGAGAGCCACATGGCATTTACATATCATAACAGTTTTCTGATAGCTGACAGAAAGGAAGCATGGGTGCTGGAGACATCAGGAAAATACTGGGCAGCAGAAAAAGTTGAAGGTATGGATGATGCTCTTCATTTTAAACATTTCAAATGCAATGACCATTAGCAGTTCTCCACTTTTCATTTACCATTTCATTAAGGCCTCAAAGTAGCCTCCAGATATGTACATGTGCCTGTAAACAACAGGAGTTGCTTGCTAGGGCATCAGTGTGGAGAGGTTATCAGTTTCACAGAGGAGCTGAGTCACAGGGGCCTTTCCAGACTCAGAGATGACCACTTCTGCACTTGGAAAACAGAGGACAGCAAGAAGGTCAGCATGAGAATCACAGCAGCATGTACGGTCTTAAGGATGGTGGCAACCGATGACAATTTCATTTGATGACAGGGTAATACTGACAGGATCAGTGCATTGGGCCCTGAAGTGGCTGATTCCTCCAGTGGACTTAGAAGGACAAGCTATGTCTTTGGAGGTCTAAGAGGAAGAATGTAAAGATGGGAATAATCAGGACAGAACCCGAAATACGATGTTGGCAATAGAAGTAAAAGAACTGAGTGGCAGTGGAATTTCAAGCAGAAGGAAAAACATAGCTAGGGGAAGAGGGCCAAAAATAAACCACAGGACTTGCAGATCTTGTAGAAACCTCTTCACTGCATAATTTGTTTTAGTAAGCTAATTGTAAACAAAATACCAAGAAAAAGCATTTGATATATTAAAATTATTCTTTCTTCATCTTACAAACAGGTGGTGTACGGAATATTTCCAACCAGCTCTCTATCACAACCAAGATTGACAGAGAACACCCAGAACTGAAGGAGTATGCCAAAAGCAAGGGCTGGTGGGATGGAGAAAAGGAATTTGATTTCGCTGCCACATATTCTTATGTAAATACTGCCAGAATGACTACATCCAGAGGCCGATATTGTGAAGGTTATAAACTTCTGAACAAACACAAAGGTATAATTTTTTTTTATTTTTTTAAGATATGCAAAGCATTTAGTGAGCTACATAATTTAAATCATAAATAATTAGATTATCTGATGCAAGCAATCATTCACATGATTTGCTGAACCAGAACTTACTAGAATAACTTTTTGTCTAAAGGAGAAATATTGAACTTGAAGTCTTCTATCACTTTTTGCCAATTTGTTCATGAGGAAAAATTAAAACAAGGGTCAAATATCAAATACACACAGCTTGAGTAACAACACTGAGAGGTCACATTATGACCGTACCACTAAATACTCTGTCAGACCTGCTCTGAAACATTTTTGCAGGCCATATATTATTACTGTACCTCTAAGAAAAAAAAAAAAGAGGCTAAAACAGACTCCCAGTGGCTTGCAGCCGCAAACAACCTTATGAACACCTTCAGTCTGATACCATTCATACAGACCTAAGACAATAGCACAGCATTCAGATACATAATCTGGCATTTATTTTTGGAGATTGTTTTTTAAATCTTTGTAGTTTCACTGTAACTGTTACTCTAACCTTGTGTAGTCTAATAAAATACACTGAGAGCAGAACTAAAGAATTTTCTGTGCTCTAAGCACATGCTTATAATCGTAACTTACTTATTTTTCAGAGCTCTATAGAAAGAAGCTATTAGTTCTCTTCTAACTGCATCCACGTGGCAGGTTTTTGCTGCATCTGTATTTTCTTGCTCATTTGAAGTAATTAATCAGAACCAGAAGTACACTGCATCCCATTTATTTGGCTGAGTTCTGCCAGACCAGGTTTAGCATGTAGTTTACGTGTCAGAATGAATTACCTTTTGCTGTCCTCCTCAAGTGATAATGTAAATCCTGCATTCATTTTGGGAATTGCAGGTTCTGAACACTGAAAGCATTTTTATAATACCTGAATTTACTTGCATTATAACAATGTTGCGATTCTGTCTGTTTTCACTGTAAATCCCCATTTTCAGGCATTCACCTGACCCATTTTAAAAATCACACCAGGTGTTCAGGTTATCAGCCTCATATGGCTTCAGTTTGCTTAGATTTATTTTAAATAGGTGCCCTAACTGAAAGCTATTTGGTTTACAGTATCAGTAAAATCACTGGTTTCTTAATCTACTCTTCACAGCTTTTTCACTCAGTGGCATTACAGTTTTTTCCAGGCTGCCTACCATGTGAAGACCATTTTTAGATAAACATTATTTATATTTCAAAAAATAGGCCATATATTTCAAGAATACAAATTAATAAAAAAAGTTAGTGGAAAATATGCAATACCTTGTTTCCTGATGGACAAGTTGACAGCTTGAAGTTGACAAACCAACTCTTACTTCTTTTAATTTCTTTGATTCATCTAGCTTGTCAATTTCTTGAATTGTCTGACTTTCTCAGGGAACTGTGGGAATACTTGAGTGTTTCCTTCCTGAAATGTACTGCTGCATGCCTGTCTACAGGCAATTTAAATGGTGTATAAACAAATAATATTGAAGACTTAGCAGGACAGTGATGTTATTTTAAGAGGATGCAGCAAGTGAAACACAAAAAAATTAGATGGTAGATGATACCTTCAAGTGAATTAACTAACCTTTTTCTGCCATATGCACACACTCAACTGATACAGCAAATTTGAAAAGAAAACTACTGCAAACACTGCCTATTAGAATATTGGATTGCCTAGTGATACCATGCCAGTATTTAAGCTTCATTGTACGCTGGGCATGAACAGCAGTATCATTTGAACATTAGATGCAGAGGCATATGCAGAAGGGGTTTTGTTTCACCTAACTAAGAAGAAAAATTTTCAGAGAGACATTTGGCACTATACTTCACATAGGTATGTTGATTAAGATGTCTTTACAAATGGATGCACTATTTTAGTTCCTGTTGATTCTGAGTGTAGAACATGTTGTTACTCCAGTGCATCCTTACAATTGTCAGCTTGAAGCCTACGTGTTTTGGAAGGCCAGATGATTAAAATAAAAAAAAGTTACAGTCTTGGTGTTTCTTTTTCAAATTTACACACAAAATCCATGCCCAGTTATTAGTTTTACATTTCTAAAGCAACCTCTTGGTATTAACTGTGTACAAAAACCAGTAACTATTATAGTGATTTATTTTAACTCCCACAGTACTCAGGAAGTTCAGCCTTTAATCCCAGCTACTAATTTTCAGCTGAAAAGTTACTGTGTGAACGACCATTTGGTAGCCATATGTATTTTACCTTTCTGGGAAACATCATGTGTTGTCATCCTCCCCCTTTTCTAAGTCATAAATGTTATAGCTCATTATCACCTACTCTTTGAAATAAATACTTCAGGGAAAACAATAATATTTTTAAGTGTGTTACATATTAAGGTATGCTGTTAGGATGATTTTTTTTTTCCTACCAACACAGATAAACTACAATTGACATTGCCTATTAAAAGAAAAAGCAGCCAGTTGTAGAGAACATACCATTTAGTTGGTATTATAAGTAGTGCTGTGTGCAAATAATTGTATTGTATCTTAAATAGGATCTATCACTTCTGAAATAATGATGGAAATTCTTCGTGACAAAGAAAGTGGCATTAACATGGAAGGTGGATTTATGACAACTGGAAGCATGGTGTCTGTATTGCCTCAGCAGCCTAATCTGCCATGTATTCACTTCTTTACGGGAACTCCAGATCCTGCGAGGTGATGTAGGAACAAGTAATTAGGATAGAAAGTTGCAAATACCTAAAAGAAAAAGTGTTGCAATTTCTCTAATTCTGTTCCTTTTTACTTTTTGTTTTTTTCTTTTTCTCCTGAAAAAAGCACAATCAAAAAGTAGGTGGAACATAATGTACATTATATACATTAGTGCTATCTACAAGCCTACTTAGTGAAACACTGCTATGACACTGACATATCAGTTAGGAGATTTTTTTTTTAAGACTTCTTTCTCAAAGAAGGAATTCGAAGAATCGGGAGAAAATATATCAATCTGCTGACTCAACAATTTTAACAATACTGTATCAGTAAAGGATCTCTCTTCTATTTTCTCTTTCCAGGTCTGTATTCAAGCCTTTCATTTTTGTGCCCAATGTTACGCAGTTACTAAAAACTAGCTCCCCTACATTTGGTCATGATGATCCAGTTAAGAAGCAACCACGTTTTCAGAATAAGCCAGATCGAAGACATGAGCTCTATAAAAAACATGAAAGTGCTGCTGTAGTTATGGAAACTATGGAGGTACGTTGATTAAATCAGATTTCAGTGCAAGCAGGTGGTTTATATAAGCTCCTTGCTCACATTTTGTTAATGTGATACCATTTAATGCCCTTTGATGGATTGCAAAGAACATCGCAGTGCACCAGAAGCCCATCATCTTGTCATCTGGCAGGCATATGTTTCAAACACTAAAAATTGCAACTAGCACTTTGCTGCACTCTCAGGCTTAGCCTCAGACAAGTATCGGTACTGCTCATCTTGCAGAGAACGTGGCCACACATACTCCTGCATCAGTCAGATAATGGGGAAATGCTTGAGCAGCCCCAGGCAAATATATAGCTCCTGATAAGCGTACTTAAAACTCCCCAGGAGCCTGGTCTGAGGCAGTAAGGAGTGCATGCCTGTTATTGCTGGGTATGGACAACAAACAAAAGAAGATCAGAAAGACAGATGGACACGAAGGTGAAACAGGGAGGTGGTTGCTTACTTTTAATAGTAGCGTCTCTCCTGTTTACAGATATGTGTTCTAAAAAATAAAACATATGCCCACTTAAGTTTTGGTAGCGTAAATACCTGGAGCAGCTTTAATTTAGTTGATTTTCAGTCCCTCAGACAAGAATGTAGGGAGATGAAGTGAGAGCTAGATATTAAGAAAGATATCTAAGAAAACCCGTCATGGTGCTAACTTCTACCAACACATGCTTGTACTCTAGAAACTATTAAGAGGTTAAAATAAGGATAGCAGAACTGAATTTTGTTAGGGTGAACACTACATACCGCATATAGTTTTAGTGAAATACAGATGTTTATTTTTGCAGGGCAAAGGCAAAGAGATGCTGAAAGAGATTCAGGAGTTGGAGAAGCAGAAGATAAGTGAAATGGAATCAATCCTGCAAAACGGACGTTTTGACATTAACCAAGTGGTTAACCTTTTTTCACAGTGTGTAGAAGAAGAACTCAAAATATATAGCTAAAACTATTTGAATGAGGTAAAATTCAGTTTTATGATTGACTTTTCTTGTGAAGTGGCTATAGATTATATCTTATTTTCAATATACCAGTTAATATGGACAATTTTAAAGATGCAGATTCATATTCAAGCCAAACAACTTTTGGTTGTATGAACCAATGCTGAAAAGGCTCTTAAGAGCTAGGCAGTGGCTTTGTCTGTATGTGGCATAAAGCTGTCAGGAGACATTGATTTCGCCAACAAACAGCTGCAAGTAGTATGTAATAGCTTGATTAAAGTGTGGAACAACCACATCTCTGGATGAAGAACACAAACTCAGATTTGGGGAACTCTGTTCTAGTGCATACACACATGTAGCTTTTATAGTCAATATAATCATAGCAGAATTTCACATTGCCTAAATTAAAATGGCCATGCTGAAGGACTTTCTAAAATGTAGAAGCTATTACTTGCACTGAATGAAAAGGAAAATGATATGCAAGTCAAGTAAGATTGATATTCATCTGTTTGATAAAACCATTCTAAGATACATTACATATACGAACCTTCTACTCCATCAATGTAAAATGAGGCTAAGAGTTCAAGGTGTATTAAAACCAAATCACAGTTACGATTTTACCATGATTTGTTGAGAAATGTTTACATGAACTTCAACAATGCAAGCATCTTGCAAGTTACCACATAATTTTCACTTCCCTTTCTATTTTCCGCACCCTGATACCAAAAAAAAAACTTATTTACATACAATATGATTATTGTCAAATTAATTCTGCAATACACTTTATAACATCACATGGGAGTTTTTTAATGTTTCTTGAATTGTTACTTTTTTGAATCAGGTAACTAAAAAGGAAAAGGTTGGGGTACACAGAGGAGTTTTAAAAATTTTTCACTTCATATAAAGCCTCTTAACCATGACTTGTCTCGTGAAAATTACTAGACTATGGAGTTGATTTAATTAAGCTTTTTGCCCTGCCAGGGACTCTTCCTCCCTGATCCTGTTTAAAAGTAATGATCGTTATGTGACACTTCTTTTATTCTCTGTGGCAAGGGACAAACTGAACAACAAAGAAAGAAGATTCTAGCTTTACTACAAGATCAAGCAGGATAAAAAGTATGACTGGAAGGGGGAAAAAGAAACAAAAAACAAAAAACCAGCCCTTCTGCAAACCTTGAGAAGGGAACACGTAACATGAAATAGTGCATTAGAGCCGCAGCAGCAGTATGTGACATGACACAGCATCCCCACAGAAAGACACAGACCATTCTTTGGTCACAGAAGGACCATTCTTTGATGATTTATTTGTATTTAGTCAGTTTCTAGAATCATCTTAGATGCTAAAGATGGGGCTCCACACACGCAGTTTTCCCATTTTGTCAACTGTTCTATCCCCTCACTGATAAAAAAGTAAGTGTAGGCAAAAAAAAAAGAAATACAAACACAATGAAGTCTGCAGAATGAGTAAGAAAATTAAGAGCTTGGCAGAATTAGTTCTTCCTGATCGTACAATGAAAGGAAAAGTTAATTTGGGATACTGTGTTCAGATCCACAGCAAAAAACCCCAGATGGGTCAGGAACAGGTCTTGAACTTTCTAGTACTAGTGATCCTATGTGTACCAAGTAGCAGTAGCAAGTAAGATTGAGTAGCAGGTAAGACTGAAAGTAAGCTTGAGCTGACTGTGAACCTTCTGTACCTGTGTTGCCAACAACATTTCTTAGAGGTAAGTTCAGTAGTACAGTGGATGTTCATGAACTGGAAGGTATATTTAATAAAATTTTGCTGTATTTACCCATTTTCCTCATGGATGTCTGTATTACAATTGTGTGTATCTTTGTGCTATTTTTGATCATCAGCTGTTCCACACTAGCTTTTTGATAACTTCAAAGAATCAATAAATAACAGGTAAAACCATGCTGGAAACCAAGGTATGGGTTGAGTTTACAGGTAGCATAGCAAAGCAATTGTACGCTACAGTGCAAATATAATGAAGTGATGCAGGAACGAAAGTAGTGAAGGTCGTTGGAGCAAGCTTTTACATGAATGTCTTGACCACTTAATCATGGGGTGGCAATTAACCAGCTTAAGCATATCGATCTGGTTGTAATACAGGTAGATACAGTCTGTTTCTCTAGTTTCTGTGCTGTTTTTTATTTACTGATCTACGAGATACAAAGTAAAAACAATGTGATGTGTGGAGACAGATCAAGTGACGGCCAAAAGAGTACAAGATATTTTGGTATCTTTTTTTTCCTGGGATTTCATCCTCCTACAACATATGCAGTGTGAAAACAGGAGGAATATACAACAGTCCCTCTCACAACCATACATTAAAAAAAAAAAAAAATCAGAATGTCCTCTAGAGGGCAATCTTTGCATGTATTTAATCTAGGAATACCTCTTACAGCTTATTTTAAATGTCTGGAGCTTTATGAAGGATCATTATTTTTAAAAATGTAATAAAATTACTACCTAAAAAACTAAAAGTTCGATATCCACTCCTGTCCATTATCACAGTTATTTTGAGATTACTGCTAGAATAAAGAACCAGTGTTTCACTAGAGACTCACCTGGACTTAGTTATTCAGTGGATGTTTTCAGGGAACTGTAACTTCCAAGTTAACTGAGATTTATCCCAAACTAATCCAGCTTCAAAATAAAAGATCGCATTACACCACTGACCACATCTTTAAAGCAAAGTTATTTCTAACCATCAATAATTCACACATCAATTGGTCAACTATTGACATATATTAAATTGTCAGTTATTTTAAAACTTGCCAGTGCTCCTTAGTGGAAGCAAATATTTATCAGGTAAGAGAGTTATTTATCTTTCTAAAGTTATTCAAAGTCTATTCTTAGCTTCCAGAAGTACCCAGTGATTTAGAAATAAATTATACCCCGTACTTCATTCATAATTTCTTTAGTCTACATTATAAAAAAAGATGCAAGAGCAGGACTTGTGATGAAAATGAGAAAGACGAGTGGAAGAGCAATGACTATGTGCAGGACTGTAAAACTGACCTAAGATCAACTTCTTGAACATCTGAAGAATTTAAAAAAAAAAAAAAAATTGTACTTGGTAAGTAGATGATAATGTGAAACATTCCTGAAGATCTGTTTAGGCTGTTAGATGAAAACTGGTATCTTTGTGTGGACACCCATTAACAAGTCCCCTGCCTACTTAAAAAGCATCAAGGATGGATTTAAGAAATACCAAACTTGAAACTCAAGAGCCACTTTAACAAATTTCTCAGAAAAACACATTTGTCATAAATCTTGACATGCACACATAACCCTCCCACACCTCATATCACATCAGTCAGAACTCTGAAATCAAGTAACAGATTTATTGACAAGTTACAGTATTTAGAAGCCAGACATACTCACAGCTTCTGCTCTTAAGTTACATATCTAATTATTACAAAATATGTAGCCACCTTCAGCAGTTGTAATGGAAATATGCTATTGTTTTCATTTGTGGCCACAGCATATTACAAATGTCCATTATTTTGTTGCTGAAAAACATTAAAATATGTCAGTTTGTATAGCATACATATGCAATAGGATGCAGCTATGTTTCTGTGCACACTGCAGATGTGCAATAGGACTGACAGTAAAAGGAATTATTTTTCCAACATAAGTCTTGCATGGAGTCACAGCTACCATAAAACAACTGTTTTTTCAACAGTATCTTATGCTGCTAAAATAACTTAATTGTTAACACAGATGCATAAGTAGCTATAATAAAAATCTGTGTACTAAAGAAAAAAGGGAGACTTAAAAAAAGGATAAGAGTTATTCATATGCTTGAGCAAAACTTTTATTTTTAATACCTGGGTTCCTTTCCCTCACTATAAAAAAAAATTTATATAGACATATAAATGCCATTCTTGCAGTTTTAAAAAGTCAGCATAATGACTATCAGATACTACAGTTTGTCTTTAATCTTTTCAAAATACTGCAGAAGACACACAGATTCTCAGATTCTGCCTACACTGCACAGGAATCTGAATGACACTAGAGTAACTATTTAAACATCGTAGGGGGATATCTGAGGCTTATTAGAACCCTGTGTTAGGCAACCAATACTAGAATTTTAGGATCTTTAGATACTCTAAACCCTAACTTGGATGTTCAGTTAGGATTCTTTATATAACAGATTTAAAAGTCATTGTATTTAATTTAAAAGGTTTTATGATTTGATAAAATTTTTCATCTTGACTTTGCACAGGTATCCAAGGCTTCCATAACATCTTTATTTGAGGCTGGCACTTCTCAAACTGGAAAGGCTAATTTCAGAAGGTGAAAGTCTACCCTTGACAACGTTGTTATGACCACTGTAAGGCAAAACTTCAGAACCAACTATGTGAAATTCCATTGTATCATTTCCTAATTTGGGGGAGTGGTGGGTATTTTTATGTTTTTAAAATTTTGTAAGCATGTACAAACCCATTATTTTTCCACTCAATATTTCCTTAGCTTTAATCCTCTGACATCAGAGTCAGAGGATTAAAAATCCCCCACTTACACACAAATGGGGGATTTTCTCTTTAAGGGAGAAAAAAACTGACTTGATCTGAGATGTAAACAGTTAGAAGTTGTTCCTGGTGTTAGACAACAGTAGAGTAATAAAAACTGGGGTATGATAGAAGAAATCCTACTTCTGTGAAGTGAGGGGAAAGCCTGACTGTAAACAGGAATCAAGTATTTAATCACACTAAAATACGGAAAGCATACAGCAACATGAAAAATACCTCTCATTCATGGGTTTTTTGGTTTGGTTTTTTTTTTTTTTTTCATTGTGGCACCAGTCACTAAAGCTGCTGTTATAATGCCTCTATAATACGACAGTGACACGTATCATTTTACTATTTGTTTTGCTCAAAATTGAAAAAAATGCCCTAAATGCAGAGCATCTTGTTTTGCTCTAGTTGCATTCTGGTTGGAACACTCACTAAATATCAGTTGCTACCATTTCCTTCAGAATAGACACAGGTAGAACCACATCTGTTTACAAGACAGAATAAAACAATTCTCTGAGAGCCCTGGGAAAGAACTGCTTCCAATTTCAGTGATGAAGGCAGAGGAGATGGTCACATTCACCCCTAACTGCCTACATGCTCAGGTCAATGGCTCTCAACTGCAACTGATCTCTTCGGAATAAAGCGGTAATACAAATATTCATCCCGAAATTCAAATTCATTTGTAATATGCTGGACGACGCCTCCTTTCATCAGTCTGTCTCCATACATCACAGCTTCACCACGGTCAGAGGCAAGGCCAACTTGCATGAGCCAGTTCACCAGGTCACAGCCAAAGAAGATGCCAGTGGAGATCTTTGCACCACACCTGTATGTCAAAGGAATGATTCACCCACATGTTCTGTAAATCGGGTATCACCACTGCACGATGGGGAAAGGCAAGGAAAAATAGCAGGAAACAAGGAAAGACATTATGATAGTTAAGAGCATGTTAGAAGAGAATTTGCAAGTTGTGTATATTAGGGACATGCCAATGTTCACTACCTTTTCCTACAGACACCTCAATGAGAAGCAAAATGTATGTACAAATTTATTTTAGGCTTGTGAAATAACTTCAGTGAACGTAAGTGGCAATTTTCCTAAAATTCTAATTCTAAAATGTAATTCAATTTCTTGGATACTTACTTCCCATGTACTCATTAACATGACCATTTCTGCAACAAAATATCTGATTTAAGTGCAGTATGCCTGCAGCAACAGGAACTCAAACTCCACATTAATTCCATTTTATAATTTCCCTTCAGCTTTAAAGAGACACTAACTTCTTACATATATTGTAAACAAAAACCACTTAACTTGCATATCGGGTTAAATATTTACCACACAGGCAGTACTAAGAATAAACAAAACCTTTACAACAAGACTAAACTAATTTTCTTTTACATATTTATGAGGCAATACCACTAACATCTATCTAGTTGCAGTAAAAATACCATTCAGAAGTTTACCTGCAGCAGTGAATGTTTCAGGTTATCTAAAATCTGCTCTATGGAACCCAAGGGCAGGGTTTCTGACGATCATTAAGAGCTACACAGAAAAACTCAAACTTCTTTCTCTATTTTTTAAGTTAAAAGCAGCAGTAACACAGAGCAAGTGTTAACATCTATTAGCAGAGAAGCAAAAATTAAAATAAATAAAAATCCATGATTACAAGCTCTCAGTTACAGTATGTTTAAATCAAAGAGGATAGAATCAAGTTAGATGAACATTTAAAATGAGAAGATAAATGCTTTACTTTAACTCACAAGTAGAAATAAGACATGAAACTATTTCCACACAAACGCTATATTAAAACAATGAAACATCAAATGTCAGATTTCGTTGTATTCTTAGGTGATATATGATTTAAAAAACCCACAAAACCCAACCAAATAAACAGCTCAAAGCCCAAGAAACCACAATAGCAACAGAGGCACAGGAGACAGAGCTGTAAAACCCATCCTACTTCAAAGCAAATATTTTCTGATACATCTTTTCTGTCTGGCATGGGAGAAGCAAGTCCTTGAACTGCCATAGTTCATTCTTCCTAAATGAATAACTTTATTTCTTATGGAACACCACTGGTATCTGGGGAGACTGAACTAAATCATGATGCTGTCAAAAAACAGTTTTGGAATGTGGTTTCAGACTATCAAAAGACCACCCCATCCCACCAAACTATTTAAAAGCCCACATGACAAGAAAAGTAGGAGTGTCCTGTTAGAATAATTCTGCATGTCTCCATTTCATACAGTAAGTATTTTGATAAAGGCACAATCTGCTGCTTCTATCTGCATTTCTCTTCTCATTCACCTCTATACACCTGAATACATAATCCTTGATTTGGGTATCATAATGTGGCTCTGAAAGCTTTGCTAATCTCATAAATTGAGGTTTAGGCCTCACAAGAGGAATGAGCAAAAGAAATTGTATGAACTCAGAAGGTGTAAAGGTCCTAAGAACACTATAATCCCACATATTGGGTGGCCTCTGAGTACACGCTCACATCAGCTGCCACAGCTTCACCTCCTGTAAAAGCTATTTATTAATAAACATTCAGTCACATAAACACTGACACCTTCTTAATCTCAAAAAAAAAAACCAAACAAGGGTCTCAAGTTTGACAAAAGTCATAGATACACTCTATTACAGGCATTATATGTACATCTCTTCCGAAAGATTTTCTCTCTTGAACTCCAGCTAAATGCAAAAACTGGGGCCATGCATTAATGATATAAAACTTTTTACAATTTATATAAAATCTAGATGGAGTAATGTGATAACTGTGCCTCAATGTTTCAGTTTGAGACTATCAGTAACAGAGAAATGTTTCTAAATTTTTAATCCTCACCTTGAGGTTTGAATAAATATGCCACAACAGGAATCACCCACAGACAAATTAAACTGCATTTAATTATTTCCAAAAGGTCAGCTATGCCCTTTGTAACAGGTTGTATGTGCAGGGAGGAACCTTACCTTCTGCCTTTGACAATGCTTTTGACACAGTGATCTCTATGATAACGAACAAACTGTTGACAGGTCATCCTGATTTCCTCAGGTACACAGGGATCTGTATGGCCTGCTGCTTCTCTTCCTCCCCAGAGAAATTCAAGTCTTAAAAAACAAAACAAAACAAAAAACCCAACAACAACAAAAAAAGAAAATTAGCAAATAAACCATTGGAGGCATTTTTATGGAAACTGCAAACAATAGAACAGAACTTACACGAAGCTTATCACAACTGTTTCAGTGCCCAATACTTTATATACAATCTTCCTAATAAACTTTGAATGCTGTGTGGCTTTATTCTAGGTGCAGGCAGAAGAAATGACAGAGAGTAGTTGGGAGTCAGCTTTAGCTGCTGGATAGACACCGCAGCCAGCTAGCACTAAGTTAAAGATGGCTTTGTACAACTTGCGCCTCCACAGCGAGCTCCCAATTAAAGAGTCCATCCACACAAAGTACTTGCATGAGGTTATGAATACAGGACTTTAAAACACGGATGACAGAATCTGGTTCAGCATTCACATCTAGGTTTTAATTTATCAGCTGAAATTATTTCTGAAGATCCATCACCTCACTGATCCAACCACATACTTCGCCATCATCTGCCAAAGATTTCATCTATAGGGAGCCTGTGGGATTTTTGTCTTTGGGAGTGTCATTAGGACAGCAGTAAAAACTCATGCACAGTGAACTGCAATTAGCTCTCCACAACTGGGAGAGCAATTTGGAAGATCAAACAAATAGGAAATGGAATGCAATGGCACTAAACACTCAATATCCTTTAAAAAATATTATAATTAGTAATTAAGTTTATAGGTATAAGTGTAAAGATTCTCCTTACCTTCGCTTAAATGGTAGAATTATTAAATGCTTATCTAAGCCAAAAATACCAAAGCAAATGAATCCCTGGAGGAAAAAAATGTACAAAAAGCAACATTATGCAAAAACTTTAGTTTCTAAAGAACAGAAATAAAATGTGAAAAGTATGCTTCTCTAGATATCACTCAAAATGCATTTTGTTTCTGCTTTCATTTTTCATTTGGGCCTAAAAAGACAGATTAATATGTAACAGTCCAGCAAAGAAACACTTCAAGAAACAGTTTAGTAAACCTAACGCTGTGACATGCCACCTGACACTTAAAACACCAGTATTCTTACACAGCCGGTTATTTAAATCTGTCTTTGTTAATATCAAGAAAATAACTGACTTATTGTAACTTGAATGCTAGAATTCGCGCTAGTTAATTCATTTTTTCTGTGCCACTCTTGTATTAAAACTATAATTACTTGATACTGCAGTGCATCTTGTAGGCACACGTGTCCATGGATCTGTGTCCACCTACTTGCTTTCACTTTCATAGATAACAAAACTACCTTGTGTCAGTTTGCACTGAAATAGGCTATGTAATAATAATAAGGCTAATAAGAACTTAAAGCCTTATAGCAAAAGTATCCATGTAGCCATCTTGCACCTATTCAGCTACACTGGTGTAACTTCACAGAAGCGACACCAGTGAAGCTTTCTGGTACAAATAAGGCTAAAATCCTACTCAGTTTCCATAGGTATTTGGTATTCAGTTGTCATTTGTACCTTTGAAAATGTTAATGCACATGAAAGACATGCATTATGATAATAAAGCTATCAAAGCAAAAGAAAAAACTTGAGAAAAAAAGGCAAAACAACATAAGGAGCAGGTGACTTCAGCATTGTTTGTGGACTTCAACTTACAGTGCTTGTAACAGCATTTGCTGCAACACCAACTAACAAAGTAATTTTCAGAACAAATATTGATAAGTACCTGACCAAAATTAAACACAGCACAGAAGAACTGCAATTCCACATATAACCTCCCAGGCTCTTGGTTGAACAGCCACCACAAACAACTGGAAAGATTCTGTCAAGAAAAAAGAAAAAAAAAACCAACAAACCCCACAATCCTAACCTGACTGTTAAAAATCAAAAGCACTTTCTTACTCTTCACATGCTAATAGAGTCTTGCACAATTTTCACTGTCCTTACTTAATAAACTACTCAGATAAAGACAAATAAACACCTTAAAACATAATTTTAGTTAGGCTTAATAGCTGGGGAGGGGCAGAAGGCTTGTTTGTTTTTACACAGAATAATGTAAAACATACCATTGCACAGGTCCTGTCCCTTTACATGTTTACATAAGGAACTTGCCTTAAGCATGCTTAGGTATTCAACCTAACACAGGCAATGTTAGCCCAGACAGATTTGCAGTATTTGCCTTTAGGCCTGTTTAGCTGAGACCAGTGCTTTCTACGTATTTGCTGCATAGTTAAGATTGTGTTAAGCTGAAACACATACCACTTCAGCTATTTTAGATGCCTGACAGAAGGAAAAAACCTCTAAAGTTAACCCCTTCGGGTGTAAAGGCTAATTCGTTAACGTAACTGGTCTCATTTCATACTATCTATGTAATCATTCAGATACAACTAGGAGAGGCAAACATTCAGGATACCTCTTAAATACAGACAATGTAAAAAAACATATTAGCATGAAATATTTGATACAGGAAATTTGAGAGAGGGAAAACTTCCATTTTGTAATTTAACAGAACCTGAAAAGCAGCAGTAGTAGCTATGACATTACAGAGTTGTGCCACACTGTCCTGCTTTGCAGTATCGCATATTTGTGCCATAGTATTTTCGATTTCAAATAAAAATACTTCCCCACAATTGTCATCCACAAAAAGCTCAACTTTGAGCACTCAGAGAGAGCTGTTTCTCATCTCTGTCACAGTTAAAAATTCAAATTATATCCCTAACGCATTACATTCTGGTATTTCACACTTTTACACAGGAGCAGCCACCTTCACAACTGTGATCTAGTCAGTAATGATGCTTGGCAACACCAGCTTAGCTATGTTGCCTCCAAACCACCACCAAAAGCAGCGAAATTGCATTTTCCCATTTCAAATAAAGTCTTATATTATTCTTTATTACTAAAGCACTCCAGAAAAAATCCAAATTCCAAATATAAGCATGATCAGATTAAACAATTTTTGTACAGTCTCCTTAAGAAGCAGAATTCACTTTATATTTTTAATTGATTATTGTCTAGGGAGAAAGACTAGCTCTCAAGAAAAATGGGAAGAGAGGTAGTAGTGATGAATTAATTACCAAATGATACAATTCAATTTTTTTTCCCCTTTAGGATTCTCCAGTGTGGCTTGCTCAGTAACATCATCAATGTTAACTTCACTTTAATTTATGATGTGGCACAGAAAAATTAATTTCATTATATCCCTCTTCCAGTAAGGGGCCAAAATAAGGCCTCTAATTTATTTAATGAATTGTTACATGATTAACTGGAAGATTTTTACTGGACTGTCTACATAGCTTTCCTAAAAGTATTCCACGTCAATGAGTTAAACGACACGGGGAGAAAAAATATTTACAGCAAACAGGCCAACAATAAGAAGTAAGCACAGCAGCACATGTCTGGCCAGCTGTTTGTCTCCGGTCTGTAGAAGCTGTTCTTCCTGAGCCAATACACAGGTTTGAGCGCTGCAATGACTCACACACTGATCAGCTGAGAAAACAAACCAGAATTTTTCATTAGGCTTCTAACTTACGAACTCCATGAGCCAACTTATTAACATAACTTGCTGAGTTAAATAACATTTTAAGTATTTGTACTGAAGTCACACACAAAATTTAATACTAGCTTTGACCTGTTCAGACATCTGTTCTCAAACAAAACAGTATTTTACATGTGCTCCTCAAATGAAGAAACTTTTTGCAACAAAACTTTTTTCAAAGGTTTAATGCAAACTGAAGTTGTGATTAACATTCGGAAAAGACTACTAGAAATAATGAAAAAATAGCCATTTCTCAGAATAGCTTTTAAACTTAGAATAAAATTTCTGAATAGATTTTTCAAATATATTATCAGCTCTAATGTTTTTACTCTGTATCTCAGCATTGTTGAGCTCTAGATCAAACAATCAACGGTATTTATTTCAGTTCTGTGACTGTATTTTTAACATGGTATATCAGGACACTGTCATAATTCTATCAATCAAAAGAGACAAACACAGAGACAGAATGGATGCTTGTCTTCCAGCTACAGAGTTCTAAGGAATTCTGAGTATCTTCCTCTAGATGGCAGTGAAAAACTTCCTGGCAAAGATATACCAAAGTATTTGCACCAGGTATCTGCCATAGCAGTTCAGTGAGATAGTAGAAGGATTAGTAATTATTGCAGACAAATTTACACAAGTGTATCCATTACAATTTGCTTTTACTGATTTATGGTTTTGAAGTGTTCACTCAGGAGGTCAAAAAAATTTCCACTCAATGATAAGATATTTTCTACCTTATCTTTCAGGATAAGAAAATTAAACTGGCCTTCCTCCATCACTGGAAGACATTCTTATGATGCTTGTCTGAATTACATAACAGATAAAATAGTTGGCAATAGGTGGAAAGCTAGCATTTTATGAGGGGAGACATAACAATGTTTCAGTGTGAAATACTTAGATTTGTTGACAGTTATGCTGCACCCAAACAATGCATAAGGATATGAACTTCCTTGTTAAGGATGCAAAAAACACAAGAAAAATAAAGTAAGAAAAATAAAGTAAGAAAAAAAAAGTTTGCACTGCAGCTAGCTTTGATTATTGAACACGATGTATTATGAGAATGGGCTGAGCATGCAGTTTTCCATCAGGTGCTGAACAGTCACTTTGATCCATTTTTTCTATTTCAGTGACTCATAAAGCTTCCATAGTCAATTTTCTCCATCTCTGCTCCATCCCAGACATGGATAATCCAGCAGCAGGGACATTTGATCTAATCTGCAGTTAAGTGCTTGCTCCCCTAGGTCTAAAGTTTCTCATTCAAAACCTATGCGTGATTACAAAAGAGGCTTCAAAGGCCTTTTTAGAAGACACAAGATCTGAATATGACATTGTAAAAAAGCATGTTTAAGTTGAAAATTTGAGGCAAAGTAGGGTTATGCATTCAACTTCCCAGCGTCCAAATATGGCAACGATATGGGACGTAAAGTCTAAATGCTCAGAAGGACATGGTAAAGTTGCTTAATGGTAAAAGTGTCTTGAGCATTGGAAGATTACTAATAACAATCAGGCAGAAGAGCACAAGCACCTAACATACTGCCTAACACTTGAATTTAATATTAACATAAGTTATTCAGGCAGAGTTGAGAGAACAACAGCCCAAACTGTTTCTTTATGAGAACACCACACATAAATGTTGCGGAAGAGTTTGCAATATTAAAATAAGGAGACACTACTGCTTTACCTGTCTCAATTGGAGGAACCTTGCTTTCAACAGCATTTGATATTGCTTTGCTGCTCTCTCTAGCACAGGATAATTCACCATTTGTTGTCTGACAAGAACAGCAACCTGTTAAGCATATACAGTAACAGGAATGTTAGCTTCCTCTTCACTACCACAATTTGTTTTCCAAGTACAGCAGTAAATTCTATACAGCTTTAACTGTTACGCTCGACAATAACCCAAAAAGATAAATCAGACTTCACTTTTCCAGTTTGCTGAGAGGATACATGGGTTACACTACCAAAGCACAGAAATATTTAACATAGCACTATCACTATGGAAGCAACACAAGTACTTTTAGCTAGAGGAAAAACATATGGGAAGTGATCACAAAGGCTACATACAAACAAGGATTAGAAACACATTGAGTAGCAACGCTGCAGGCATACAGTTAATTCTGACAGAGACAGTTCAGTGGGTAAACAATCTAAGTCTCCTAGTGGACTGCATTTGTCACATCCTTATCAAGATACCACTACTCACATAAAAACCATACACATGCTCTTTTTTCTATCCACTTCCCCCACCCTTACAGTGATAACCAGCAAACTTTCCTTAGAAACATAAACCTAAATCCTTGAGCAGTTATATCCCTATTTTCTTCTGTCCTAGTGTAACACTTGAAGGTGTAAACAACTGTCCTTCCCAAGTCAGAATTAAATTTGGAACATTATTTTATTGTATCCCAAGCCATTTATTCTTTTACAAATCTACTTTCTCTACCTCTTTCTGCAGATGGCTGTGTAGAAGATCCTGGAGAAGGCTGTGCAAAAGATCCTGGAGAAGGCTGAGGCATAGTGGCTGAAACTCGATTCCCCTCACTCCCTTCCACTTCAACCTCCTCTACTTGGCTACGTGGTGAATATGGGTTCAATACCTCATAGGTTGACTCTTCCCTATTTCTGTTCATGCACATAAGTGAGATACCTGACATCAATATACTGATGAACAGGATCACCGCTGTGGTAATTATCTGTTAAGAGAGCAAAGAAAATACACTTAAATACAAAATAAAGGAAAATAGTTGCATATATCTGTCTTTCTAACTTCTGTACTTTCCTAAATATACTAACAAATGCATCTGAATAAGACAGTTTTCTATATTTACTGCTGTTGCATCTTGTGGCACTGAAAGACCAATCAATACATGAGATTAACTTATTTTCCTTGCCTAAGTAACTCAGCTTTGTGTTTTGTTTTGTTTTTTGAAGAGAGGACCCCTATTTCCCATGAAATCCAAAAACATCGCCTCATCATGATCATCTTTCCCCCCAGGATCATTAGTGCTCCGGTTTAAGTTCTGTTCAGGTACCTTTTAATTCCAAAGAGGAATGTGCTCTTGCCACCCTCCGGCACAGCCCTAATTTCCATGCTTTCAACAATGGGGAGCATCCTATTGATTAACCTTTCCTTCTAATCATCTGCCATCGATACCCAGAGTCCACTGTGAGGCTACTTAATACTTGTGAAAGCGCCATATGAATAATCTTGAGAGACCTGTAGCCTCTCTCTCCATAAGAAAGACAGAGGGTAAACATGACAAATGTCAATGCTAGTGCACTTTACATCCTCTGATAAGAGGAACTATTTATTGGTAAAAATGGTAGTTCAGGCTCAGGGACTTTCAACCCATGATTGTGCAGAGAAGTCTCCCATAGTGCAAGCAGTTGCTGCTACACACGTAATGTAAATCCTATCTATTACAGACCAAAAGCTATGAATTAGCTATCAGATAGTAACAATCTTAGATAATCATCAAGCGAGACTACAAATTAGTCACCAGGAAAAGGGCTCTGCAATTCATTACCACTCCTAAGCCTTTTCTTTGGGAAGCCTACTCCCTCTTTTTCTTAGTCATAGTTGCCTAAATGTGAAGGTCCTTGTTCAAACAAGTTTTCCAGCTTGTTCATTACAGAAATAGATTTTTGTATCAATCTATAAGGATTCTATAATGACACTGTTATAGTAGCCTATACTTCAACTGAAAGCTACTTAGATCTAAGAAGAAAACACAGAACATAATGCATTGGACATGTCAGAAGTCTAAAGTGATGAGGGCAGAACACGTTCATACCTGATATTTTCCATAGAAAAAGGCAGAGTCAATACTAGTGTTGTTACGATCACCAACAATTAGTAAGATTCCCACCAGAAGTGTTGGGAGTCTGAAAGAGCAAAATATGAGCAAAGTAACATATTTGCCATGCTTCTACTACTTCTGCAGGGAAACATCTGAATTAACTTACCCCCATCCAGCTATGATAATAAACCCAATGGGAATCTTTACTGTTTCCCTCTTCCTCAACAGAAACAAAGAGAAAGATAGAAAACCTACCAAAAGAAAAAAAAAAAAAAAAAGAAATGCCTTGTTTATCTTTAAAAAGGTAACTGATAATTACAGAATCTACACACTCTATGATGTGACCTGCCCAATAACTAAGATATTCTTCTCAGACCTTCAAATAGTCCAAAATTCTTTTTCTAATTGTATTCTGAGAAAGTAAAATAGAAACACCTATTATCTCAAAAAAATCATTATTAATAATGAAGCACTGACAAAATTCCAGCACATTTTATATTAATACACACTTACAAATGCTTATGAAGGTTCACAAGTGTTTAAAAGATATCACTTGAGACACAAGTAACTAATTTATTAAGGTATCAACAGCAGTTGATCTAGACTGACAAACTTAAGTAACTAACAAATAATTTTGTATTCTGTTATGATGTTTCTTTAAAAACTGACTAGTTCTTTATTAAGTCAATTATAAATCTCACAAAAAGGTTTCACATATTTTTACAATAATAACTATATATGAGAGTATCTTTTGGTAGTGTCTATTCTATTCACAACTCGGAAGCTCAGCAACATTTCCCATGCTGAAGCAAAGCAAATATTTATTTTAGGCTACACTAATCATGAGCTACCTATTTCAGCTAAACACAATTTACTCCACAAAAAAACTACAGGAATTAAACCCTTAAACTTCTGGACTCAAAAATGGTATATAAAGTCTCCTGAATAACCAAAGGCTCATTTTTTTATCATACATGTAAGGTTCTCCAAGTCTCTTGATGCATCTTTCACGTCTGCCTATTTCAACTAATCCCTTCATTAATCATCTACATCTGCAGAACACATGTTTTTAGAAATTGCAATTGCCAGGGGAAAGAAATGTTAAAGCTACTTTGGTATTTCCCTTCATTCTGTATTTCGTACTTTTCTGAGGCACAAGGTTTTTAAATCTTCTTAATGCTGAATGTTTGAAAATCTTAAATTATACAATGATTAAAAGCTGTCAATAAGCTTTTGACGAGCTGAAGGGCAACCCACCACACTCACTCTATTTATTGCTTCTGCCTTGAGAGCATGTTCTTGTCTCTGGTTACAAGCTAGCAAGGCTGCTGTATCTAGCAAAGACAAACAAGACCTGCCTAAGTATAAGCTTCCAATAGCAGAAGCAGAGCCTGATACAGCCCTGCCTTGCTAGCGCTGCAGCTTGGCACAGCTTACGCGTACACACATCTGTAGAACGACATACAAGTGAAAGGAACAATTACTCTGAAGAATATAATAAAATTATTTCAGTACATCAATCTTTTATTACGGTACCTAGGTTCTGCCTAGAAAAATCATACCTGTCCACAGGTAGGTGCTATAAAGTGAGCTGTAGAGGAATATAAATACTAGGATCTGCACAGTGATGTTTTTCTCTTTAACAATGAAATTCCATACCACCATTCCAATGCAAGCAATAAACTGGAAAGAAAGGTAAGATGCCATCATTTAAATTGCGAAAGCAAAATGACAAGAAAAACTGAACACACTGTAATATTGCTACAATAAGCTTTGAAACACCACCCACAGACTCACTGGAGTGTAATTATATGAATTGGACAGTTCTGATAGCAGTAAAGCAGTGAGGCAGTGAGCTCAGTATTAGTTATGATACTGACTAGGGTATCCAATCTTCAGGGTTTTTTTGACAGCAAATATATAGTTCAGATAAACTGAGAGTTAAGACAAGTTAGGAAAAAATACAAAATCTTCATCTTGATATATCAAGTAAAATGTAAGCTTTTGTTAAGTACAAAACATTTATCTAAAATGGATTTTGACATGAAGCTGAGGTCAACAGATGTTTTTTCAGCCAAGAATGACACAAGCTTTCACCAAGAGATACCTCACGTATGACTGTTTTAGTACTGAAGTAATATGAAAAAAAGAGTCTGAAATATTATGGAAACAGTAATACAATAGTTCAAATTAAAAAAAAAAAATAAAGCTACCTTTGCTGTTATAGACAAGAAGCATCTGCAACTCTCATACAAGACTTTTTTCAAATGGGACTCCATGGTCAGACCTCAGAGAGTTTACTCTCTCTCTTTTTTTTTTTTTTTTTCTCAAAGTACAGAACACTCCAGAAAGCACTATCACCCAGATGTATTAGAAGCACAAGCTGCTCTTGCTGAATTTAACAGCAGTTGTGCTGTTGACTTCAAGGCAAGAAGGAACATGTAGTTTTCTCTCAGTTTAAACAACAATTAAAATTAATCCAGAGCTATTTGGCTTTGCCTTTCCCCAGCCACCAGCCATGCATTCCCACATCCCTCCCTTGCACCAGCACTGGCACTTGTCTGATCCCTCAGCGAGCCCCTTCACGGAGCTTAACAAGCACGGGGATTAGTTTCCTATTTAGCTCCTTGAATCAGGTCACCACAGTCAAACACACACTGCTGCTGATCCTGGCATTGCTGACTTCAGATTGGCATAAATTGACATGGAAGTGCACTCAACACTATTAGGCAGTAACTGATAGTGCTAAAAATATATTTCAGAAGCCACACTCCATTCTGATTGCTTACAGTTCTCTTTGAGAACCGTCCTACCAGCATCAACTCTCATTTTCTTCAAAGGTGTATTTTAAGGCATTGAAATTGTTTTGTTAAGTTGCACATTAGATTCCTCTGCCCTTCTTAGATGACTACAAAGATATAACTATGGAAACCAAACTTGTAAAAATGTTAAAAATAAGACTTAAAAAACCCCCAACATCACTCTTCTTACTACTGACCTGAGCAACAAGTAGATTTGTTGTAATCATATGAGGAAGCTGTTTGTATTTCTTACTCAGAATAACAACAATAAGAGACCAGATCTGGAACACACAAGATAAAATTTAATTTAAGACTAAAACAAAAAACAGAAGAACAAGATGAGTGTTCTGGCAGACTGTGGCAAAATTAAATGTACAACAAATCTTCTTTACAACTTTCTTAGCAACATGACTACTGTAGTCAGCTCCACACGATCTCCTGCCAGTCCTCAGAAAAATATGTCCAGAAAAAGCAATGCATCTTTGTGTTTTCATGATGGTGAAATATTTCCAGAGAGTACCAAAGTCTTGCCTCTAGTGCACAGAGGCCTGGTTGTTCCTCAGGACATAAATGACCACAGAATAGCCTAGCAATTTAGAATTTAAAAGGTTCCACCTCCCTGCCCCCCCCACCATCCTTACTGAATCTCCCAAGATTATTTGTGACAGCAAGAGGCAGAGTTCACTTGTGGCTTCCCTTGAAGCAGTTTCAAGACAACAGGACTTCAGTGAGACACCAACTCAAGAAAACTGCAACTTCCTCCAACATGAATGTTTTTATTTTAAAAAAGCAAACAAAATAAACACGCTAACTCTAGTCCCTATAAAGCCAAAACACAATCCACACTGGACTTCAACCACTGGATATCAACCCCCTTTTTAAGAACTGGGCACTCAGAATTCCTAGGAAAGGAATTTGATAAAGCTAAACGAAAATTTCCAAGTTAAACATTTGCATTAATACTCATGAATACTTCATTAAATACATATTCACTGATGTTTCTGGAGCTGAAGTTTTTACATGGCCTCCATTACTGTGTTATCCAAATGCCTCACATGGTTTGATGTAATTATTCCCTGTGAGGTAAGCTACTACTGTTATTCCCCCACAACCCATTATTTTTTAAAAAATGAAGGACTAAGGGCGAGTAGGTGATTGCTCATCCACACATTTCATGTATCAGGTAGCCAAATCCCAAACTCTCAAACCCTGCACCATTGCTCTAATTCACTTACACATCTTCCTCTACAGTGCAACCTTCTGGCTTACCCATTGCTAAATCAAAAAGATTTTTAACTTCTTCCTCATCCTTCTGCAACAGGATACAATGACGAAATGTCTCATCTTATCATGACTCGATTTGCTGCTTATTTACTAACACTACCCTGACATCACAGTGTGCTTTTGTATTTCACTTCGCCAACACCTACCAGAGAAATGAGGCTGACAATACTTATGTCAAAGCTAACATTTTGGAGTGCAGATGCCAGTGGGTCGGGGTCCATAGATGGAATTGTCAACAGCCACGCAGAAACATACATAATAGGCGCAGACACAAAAGTGCTTATCACCATGCCTGAGGTAATCTGCAGAAAGAGTCAAACAGAAACAAGCACAGAGTTAATAAAATAAACTCAAGCTAAATAATCTGCTTTCAGGAATACAACCACTGGCAAAATTGTACCTTTAACTTAAACATACATAGACCTTTAACAAATCACCAAGTAGCTTCTACGAGAAATTATTTAGGATTTGAGCCGAGAAGTATCCATTTTATATATACAGTAAAAATGAAAATTTTAAGAAGTTTCTGAAATAGTAGGAATGCACAGTTCCTTACGGTAAATTCTTACAGAGCTTTTTCATGGGTGTCAAACATACTAATGACTACAGTCTAGGGGTGGATTTACAACGTCACAATTCATTTTTTGGATTAAAAGATTAACACTGCAAATAAACAAGTGTAGTTATGCAAATACTAATACACACCAATTCATGGGAAGAAGCCATATATATTTACATTTAAGTGATTTCTATTTTGGCTTCTCTTTGTCTTTCTGCTTTGTAGAATTTGCACAGTGATGGAAGTGTGAATTTTTACTCACACTACAGATACTACAGAACTCTGTTTTAAAGAGATTTCCTCAGTTTGTTGGGCACAAAAATCTATCTTGCAAGGTTTACTTTCAGTGTCCTTTTTTTTTTTCCTTTTCTTAAAAAAATTTTAAAAAAACCCCAGAAAACAACATCCAAACAAATCAAAAATAGATAAGATTAAAAATAATAGAAGTCAACAGGAATGTTTTAATGTCACTTCAAGTGGAAGAAAAGAAACAGTTATAAAATTCGTATCTTAAGTTGCAAATTTCTATTGCAAGATTTAAATGAAGGGGCAACACAACAGAATCAGTTAAAGGATAAGTTCTCTGTAAGTTTTCAGTATTAAGCTAGCACTGTTCTTGCTTGCATCAGTAACATCATTTCTATTTTTTCCTACCAAAAAACTATCTCAAATATAAGGTCTTTGGAAAACAAACAAACAAACAAACAAACAACTAACAAACCCACAACAAAGATAAAAATCTTTATATTTAAAATTATCCTAGTTCTTCCTACTAGAGTCATGAATAAAAAGAGCATGAGGACTGACTTATGAACGTGTACTATCAAGACACTTGAGACATCAGGAAAGAGTATTTTGCTTAACTAACAATCTGAAATATAATTTATATTTGAGATCTAGGTAGTAGAAGTAAATCTACTAAGCTACAGAAAAGCAAATTCATCAAACCTGTTTATTTATTCAAGTTTTCATCATCAAAGTTAAGCTCAAAGTTAGTACATGTTTGGAAACGCTAACTACATACAATTCCTACTTCCATATTAAATTGACTTGCAAATATTGCGACACCAGGTGCTGCTGGAAAAACTCCATAAAGAAATGCATAGTTTGATAAACTGGTGTGGTTGACTACGTCGTCGGTCTTGTCCAAGAGTTCTACCATTTCTCTACAGAGAAATGGCATCATAAGTCTGAAAAGAGAGGGAAAAAAGTAATTACAAAAAAAAATTACTCAAGCTATAGCAATAGGCTATTCTTTACTCAGAAAATTAACCAAAAGAAAATTTAAGGCTTGTTTGAATACCATTCATGAAAAGCAAAATAGTGACATCACTTTGAATTACTGCCTTTACTTTCACCATGGCACTTACCACCTGCTTAAAAATTGTGTGCCAGAAGTTAAACCAAAAACACCCATACACAAAAACAAACGTAAAAATGATGCCAACCTCTGGGATATAAGCATATTATCTAATTGTACAGATGTGTTCTTTGTATAAACATCAGATTTAGAAAGGTAAAATATAAAAAAACCCCACCACCTAATTTTTCAACTGTTAAACTAATAGTAACTATAAGCAGTCAGCAGCTTTGAAAATTAGACCGCCTCTATGTAAGCTGTCTGAAATACAACAAGGGCTCAAGAATAAGTATCTCATTCTGAAAGTTTTGGCCAGGAAAAAAACCCTTCATCAATGCTATTCTGTTCACCTTTAGCCACACAGACTCACTCACAGGCTAATTACATCAACTCACCAGTAAGGCAAAGTGGTAACATTAAAAAACATTTCTTCTCACGTTTTTACAAAATTTGTCATTGAGCTAGTTTACAAATTAGGTCTTTCAAGTTTGCTAGCTAGTTGCAATGATATTCAAATGCACCTTCAAACTTTACAGTACAAACTTAATTACCAAACAATTGTTCTGTTAATTGTAGCTCTGTAGCAAATAAAATATTTAGTTCACCAGTAACTGAGATATATTGAAGGGAATGTAACGATGGTAAAACTTCGACTTGTCATTTAAATACGTCAAATATGTCAAATAAATACGACTTGTCATTTATTCATGCTTAAAAGTCAGACTGTTTAAGAGTGTAAAGTGATCATTTTAAGTTCTTGCAACGTAACAGTTTCAAATGTTTATAGACAAAGCAAGCAAACCCAACTAATTTAGAGATATATTGTTTAATCCAAAGAAGATGCAAATACTAATAATACTGCAACTCACTCCTGTCTAAGTATTTAAATAGTAAATTATAATTTGAGCTAGTAATTCCCCATACACTCAATTCATGACGGATGGCCTGCGGGCAGTCCATGAAGCCACAGCACACCTGATTTTTTTTCTCTGCAGAGCCTGACAACAGGTTTGTGGTCTGCTAAATTTCCTTTAAAAGTTAACAGCTGTATACTATCAAAGAATTTGGGAAGCATTCACCCAAGATACTGGAAGAGAAACACACTACCACTATAACTATTTTGAGACAAAAACCATCTGACCAGTATATTCAGAGTTTAAAGCATCTAGAGAACAAAAGTATAAAAGTACATAAATCGAACTTACAGTTTAGCTGTGATGAGAAGGATCAGTGCAATAAACATACCCTTCGTCAGTTTTTTTGTTTGTCCCACCATAGTTAGTCCAAGGTAAAAAAGTGCAGAGCCAGAAAAGGAACTGCCCAGTCCATCAAGGAAGTTTTCAAGGTATTCAGGAATTTTCTGGCCAAGAATAAAGTTTGAGGCAATTCCTATGAAGACCATGAACACAATTGGGTTCTGCAAAACTCGAAGAAGTGCTAGGCCCACTATTTTGATTTTGCTGTGTGACACAGTGCGATTATCCCTCCACTTCTGGATTTCACAGAAGATAAACCCCAGAGGATTTAGCATCATAAGAGATATTGGAGCCACTAGGTAAATGTACTGGAGATATTCTGGGTAAGTGGTTTGATATAAAGCTTCAACTAGAAGACAGGAAATGAAAAGTGATGAGTGATAACATTTCAGTACAAAAATACATTAATATTGAAATTAAATTTTCTTGTCTGAAAACTACAGAAAAATTATTGAATTACTTCCAAAGTAACTGCATTTACAATCAATATAAGATGATGTAGTAAGAGAAGTACACCCAATCACCATTAGGCCACAGTCATCTAATGAACACATTAAAGAACAAAAATTAACTATCCAACACTATTTAATAATTCTACAAATATTCAACATTTACAGAAAAAAAGAAATAAAACAATGTAACAATCACATGCACCCTTTGGGTCATCCCAAATGCTGAAAAAAATTTGGTTTTTTTCTGATTTGCTTTTCCTCCCCAGAAACATGAGAGTTGGGGAGAATTAAATGCACCTTTGCAGGACACAGGTTGTTTCTCATCTTAAGGCAGCCTCACATCTCTGGAATTTAACCAGTTTTCAGTGGGTAAGTCAGGTGTGATCATTCTACATTGATACAGTACAACACAGCAAAGCAACAACCAAACAAAAAATACATTATCACATAATTATTAGTTCATTCTCAGGGACTACTAAGCACAAGAGTTATTGCTGTAGGCCTGGTCCCTTCAAGGAACTTTAAATCATGAGCATTTGTTTTCATTGCTACTAGATACTTCTAAGTCAAGGTAGAATTGCTTCTTATTTCAAGTTTGTGCTAACAGCACTTAAAAAAATCATGAAAAGACTCTGCAAAGATACACAAGATTCTAGTCTAGGGTGAATTGAAAAAACCCATGTTTTTAAAGTAGGATGCTATCTTTTACCTGCCTCATAATGTTATTACTTGCAATAATTTTCAAAAATATGCAAGTGACGCTTCCCATTTTAGTTTTTTCCACCCTAGTTAGAGAGAAACACATTCTTCCCCAGGAAGAAGTATCTTAATATGCAGGTCCAATTCTACTTGCACTACAAAAAATATTTTAAAAAATGGAAGCACTATTGCATAAATACACCTACTAGACCTTTCTACGGGATAACTTGCCACTCAAAGTACTAAATAAAGTTTACAATCACTTAGCAGTCAGCTGTTGCAGGTATTTCCATCTCCCCCTTGTATACTAAATCTGCACTTTTTATGAAAAAGTTTTCCCTCATGACTATGTTCTCCAAAATCCAAAAGGTTTTTACTTGCATATTATTTAAGCATCTGGAATGAGAGGATCTACAAAATGCTAAATCAAAACTTACTATAAACAATCTCCTCTTTAGATTGAATAAACTGATGTTCTCAATTAGTTGATTTACAATATATAAGAAGAGGCACTAAAGGTGCTTTTCCTCTTACAGAGCATGATTAAAGTACATATACAAGAGCTACCTGTCCTAAAATCCTCAATAAACTGCTGAACAGAATTACCCAGTTTGTGGTTAGTTACCACATTTAACAAGCCAGTTTGAAACACTAAATACATTCTGAAAAATTGAACCACTTTAAACATGCTGAACACTTTATGCAAGTAAATATTTTTCTAAAACCTCAAACCTTAGAATTAATTTTTAATGCTGCTTTATACAGAATGCCCATTTCAATCAAATGCAACTCAACAAAAGTCACATGTAAATTACCCGAGTGAAAAATGTAATAAATGATTTTTTTTGTCGAAGTGAAACTGTATACTTAATACAACATATTAAGGTCTATAAGTACTTTAACTGATGTATGAAGTCACAATGCATTTTCCTGGGTAGAAAAAGGCGTAACCAATGTAGATTACTGTGTCAGTGGTGGAAAAAAAAAATAAATCACTCTTAAGGAATCATTAAGACAGTTAAAATAATCCACAACTTCTATTTCTGATTAAAAATTTGCTTTTTATTTAAATTACAGTGCCTGCTTGCTGATCATAACAAAAAAAAAAAATCAAAGATATTTTAATAACTTAAAAAAAATTCTCCACACCCCAGCTGCTCAAAATTACATATAAATCATACACTAGTTGATCATGCTTAATACAATTAGTACCATTAAAGTCATGTAACTGAGCCATCATCCACATCACACTTCTGCTACACCTGTGTTTTAACAATACAGTACCGCAGAGTAGATGAAGCTGTTCTGTCAGAGTTGTAACATCTCACCCAGTAATAAAAACCAAACAGACAAAACTTTCTGTCATGGTGATTCTATCTACGTCGGGGGATGCTAGTAAACCTCTGTACCAGTTGTTTTTCATCCCAAGAACACTTTGGAGTGTAGAACTGTTGTAACAGTTATTAGAGAAAAACAGAGTAGTGATCTTTGAAAATTTAACCTGCATTTTAATTTTCCTATGTGCAAGTCTTTGTTAAACAGCAAAAAAATTGCATAGTGGTTATTAAAGAAACTACATGGGATGAAAACACAGGACATTATTTATTTAGGAGTTCAAACTGCCTTTTTAAATAGTATTATTATAATACACAGATTCGTCCACATCAACATTTTTCCTTTACAAATTTCGATTGAAGCAGCCTTTAAAAATATATTTCCACAAAAAGATCAGGTTTTGCTCAAAACACTACCTGTCACCATACATAAAAGGAATAAGCAAGGCATTCTTTGCTGCCCAGTCCTGCAAACACTTCAGAGAAGCCACTAACAGTAAGAAGTTTGCACACCTGACAGCATGAATCAAACACTGGTGAAAGTTTGGGGATGGGAGAAGGGAAAGGACAGGAAAGAAAATAAACAGCTCTAAGAAAGAAACAATTCTTAAGCGCTACAGTGTTACTGTTGTGTTAAATATTCCAGTAAAGTGCTTGATGAACTAAATGTTGTGAATTTGGCCAGATTGTGCATAGAAAAAAAATGAATCATATCTTGTAAATCATTAAATACTCGAAGAAAAATGTAATCTGACAAGAAAGTCATCCAAAGTAGAAAGAATTTTTTAACTAGAAGGATACAATTGAAATATGTTCAGACAACCTTAAAATACAAGAAAAAAGAGAAACCTTAATTGGCATTCTAATCCAGTACTAAGAAACAAAGACGTAATCCCCACAGCCCTGTTTGTGATATACTTCTGATTTCTCTCAAGAGGAACAAATCTCAGGAGATGCAAGCGAGCGAAACATGGTATTTTCATCTAAGGAAGAAAAAGTTTGCATTTGTCTATATTTTATACATATCAAGCAAATTTGAAGAGAGTAAGATGCAAGATTCTCCTGAGCATGCTGACCTGGAATAGGCAGAAAGAAACTGCCAGCTCCTCAAGCAATCTAAAATATGGAGCTACCTGTTGTTACATATAATCTGGAATTGCATATTTAACCTTTTCTTTTGTAACTATATTTTCAATTCAGTAATCAAATATCTTGTTTTTTGCTTTGCTAGGACAAATTTGCTTTCTTTTTTCATCTTAACTTTGACCGGATGATAAGAGTGATCTCAAGAGAATTTGAGAGGCACAGAGTACTTCCTCTTCAGGGAGCAGCAAACAAATAAAACATAGTCCAGGCATCCTCTCCAAATGCCTTCCACTCCAGGTGTGTTTTGAAGATCCTGATACCTGCAGTGTGCATTCCCACACCAGCCACACAGGTCAGCCTGGGGAGAGGCAGCACTGAAAGTGACATTGGCACAAAAGAGCCTCTCAAGGCAGGTAAAAAGCAGTGCAATTCAGATAGTAGCAGGTGGGAGAAGCCTGCTACAACTCCAGATCACTTCTTAAGTATCATAGCATATATGGCTAAAAATATATTATCATATCGTTAAGAAAATCCATAAAAATGAAAAAGAAAAAAATATTCCTTAACAAAAGGAAAGAAAATAATAGTTTTGCAGGTTGGGATAAAATTAAGTTTAATAACTGATACTGCTTGGAATTCAGAATACAGGCTTACAAGAACAAGAGTACACAGTTATACAAGTTATACTCTGAATGCCTCTTTGGTGTTTGTTTGTTAATTTTTTAGCTCCACTGGACTAGTGGTTAGTTACACATCCCAAGAATAGCACCACAGCTGCACAAAATTCCAATTTAAGATACACAAATGCAAGTTACCACAAATCACGCAGCAATCTTGCTCTTAAAAGACAGACTTCTTCCAAAACTATGTTCTAAAGCATGTCTACTGGCCACAACAGAATAAAGATTAAAGGATAAAACATGATTGGCTACATAAATTACGTTTAAGGAGCACAAAAATTAAAAGTTTCTTATGAATAGATTTAAAGTTTGTCACATACACTCTACAAACAGTAGGCACCAACATTATGGCCATATATTTTCTTTGAGCTAAACCAAGAGGTAATTCCAACTTAGTAAAAAAACCCGTATAGCTATTTCAGAGACCACAGATACGGGCTCATACTTTGCAAAGCAAGAAATTTTGGTCTTGAGGGAAACTGGCAATTTCCCATAAAGGTACTCTTAACGTGCAGTAAGTTTAAGGTAATTTATACCAACTTTAAAATTCTATTTTAAATCCCTCTTTTTTTTTTTTTTTTTTTTTTTCTTCCCTCTGGTTTACTTTAACATGACAAGACCACATAGACAACAGTAGTTGGATTGTTTTAAATTCTGTCTCATTCACACCAGCTGTCAGTTTTCTTCCTTTACGTGGTCTGAGGTCAAGAAATGTGACTCGAGAAATGGCTTAGATAGCTCATAACTGTAGTTCAGAAGTCAATTACTAATTATGGAAAAATAAAAGCAAACATGTCTAGAACACTGAAAAATAGTTTCAAAGAAGAAAGCATAAGGAACTACTTACCTATTGGATATCCCAGTGCAAAGTCATTGCTTTGTGTAGCAAAAATAGGGAACAGACCTGCTTTGCTAAATCTATTCTCAGGACGAGCTACCAACAATGTTAAAATGCAGACTAAGAAAAACACAGCAGCTTTGGCAACTAAAATACTGTAAAGGAAGGACCAATTCACATCAGAAAAGTTAAGTACCACCATGTTTTTGAACAGTAGAGCTGGGAGTGCAAAACGGGATACAAAATTTCCCAGTCCTTTGGCCTGAGTTGTTGTGATAATGTTGGCTCTTCCAGCTATGTAGCCACAAAGAATTATTCCAAAGCATTCCAACAGGGCTGGGAAAAGCCTGCTTATTGACATAGAAGGAGTACCACCAGTGGTATTGAGTCCAGCTTGTCCAGGCAAAGAAATAGACATATTAGCTGAAGATGAAAGGTTGTTTGTATTGAAGTCTGAATAGTTATCCATTTCCTTTGACCACCTCTTCCAAAAAAAGTGCTTGAAATGATCTCATCTGTAAAATAAAAGTATTTATTTATTAACTTCCAAAAGTGTGTTTGTGAATATGGTACCAGGCTTGCTGAAAGAAGAGTTTACACTTACAATTGCATTACAAATAAATAATGAGACAAATAATAAATAGCTGCAGAGAAACAACTCTGAGAATGAAGAATGCACACAGCATCTTCACACATCTTCTCACAAGTCCATGCAATTCAACCGATTGAGGCTAAAACTTCCCGAAGAAAACTGAGAGTTAACATTGAAATCTTAAAACTAAGTGTAGATTGGGCATTCAAAAAGCAAAAAAAAAAAAACAAAACCCAAACAAAAACTGTTGGAAGGAAACTCAGTATAATAAGGATTTTTTTTATTATTCTAGCATCTAAACATCATTTAGAATAGATTACAGCCTTTCAGCACTGTCCTGGGTTAAGCTGAGACAGAGTTAACTTTCTTCATAACAGCTAGCAAGAGGCTGTGGTTTGGATTTGTGCTCAGAAGAAAGCTGATAAAAAGTGATGTTTATGTGGCTGCCAAGGTCTTTCAGCTTCTCTGGCTGTCTACAAACAGGAGAAGCTGGGAGGGAGCACAGCCCCAGTTTTTAGCCCATGATTTGATCTTATGTTTGAGAGTGAGACCCAAAGTGGTCAATAATCTATTCGATAACATACCCGTCATGCCCAGTATATAG